CATCCAGACCAATTAACATTAACTGATAATGTACCTAATTGTCTTACTCATAACGTCTATTTTGATTTGGCACGCGTGTGCCGGGCAATTGGCCGTCGCCGCCCGCGCCTGTGCACCAGAATTTTTAATTATGAATTAATTAGCAACGATCAACAACACAAACTTGCCTAATGGTCGTATTAGTTTAATCTACAGTTACGACACTTGCTAGTTAAATAGCTTTGTTATGACTAGACAGATATCAATCTGAATCTAATAGTGAAATCAAAAATGGAATAATTTGTTGAATCTATACTAGCTGCCGCATGCGATTCCGTCCGCGCGGTATTAAAGAATAAACTAAATTAGTAGGTTATGTGTTCTTCCAGACTCTGTTCTGCACTATGCCAAATTTTAGCGAGATTCATGCAGCCATCCTTGAGATACCTTCAATTAAACATCCATCCAAACATTTGCATTTGTAAAATTAGTATGATTAAGCATCAAAGGCAATATTAAGTCGCATACAATGCGTATTATATTTCAAAGTAAAATACGACTTATACCGGTGTTTACATATAGATTTAAATAAAAAATAAAAAAAAACCATACAGACCAGGGCATAATAGAGTTGTCACTGCTATCAAGAGCTTTATAAAGCCGAGTCTACGTAGGCACAATACGCCCATGTGTCCATCGAGCTGTGAGCTTGAGTTCGATGACTGCGATAAAGTAATATACATTTTATATCAAAGTATAAAGTACACATATCAAAGTATCATATTAAAGTGCTTATACATTATCGAAATTACAAAATTCGTTAAGTCATGTAACATACCTATCTTGTGTACCAATAAATTCGATGAAATTATGTTGCAAGATTAAAAACTGAAATAATCACGTATTATGATTTAATCTTACTAGTAATAAATACAAAAGCTTACATGTATAAATGGATGGATTGTTTGTTTGCAGGTGAATTCAAAACGGCTAATTAGATCTGCATTAAATTACGCACAGAGTTAGGCTACGTTCTGGAATTGCACGGACTACTTATTTTTTTATTCCGCGCAGATAAAGCCGCAGGCAAAAACTGTTATTGATATTCTTGGAGTACGTAAATAAATATATACATAGTATTGTTTGTAAATGCACTAAAAATCACAAGCGCGAATTTGTGAGTAGGTTTGTATGCTAATATTGGTGCTATTTTCTGTCAAATGTATTACAATTGCAAACATATCACTTGCAAAAATATCAAGATTTACAATTGATACATGACAACTGCGTTATTTGTAGGTTTTTATTTGTTTTACTTGACATTCAATATAATACACCCAGAATATTTTTTTATATCATAAGGTGGCAAATGAGTGAGCGACCATCTGAAATCGTTGAAATAGCGAAGTGACCGTTGCCCATAGACAAACGCAAATGCATATGCGTTGCCTACCTTAAATCGACGGAGGAGAGGATGCACAGAAAGAAAATATGTAATTAGTAGTAGTCAATCAAAATGAGTGCAATACTAAACTGTGGACCGTTTTAGGTTCCTAATACGTTCGATTCAGTCCCAGGATGATTTTAATTCACGATTAAATAGACAGATGGCGTTGTCAGTACTTTTTTGTCTGAGAAAAAACCAGAACAGCATACGACGTCAGCTGATCTTTTAGTACAAATATACTATTTCACTTTATGTTACTAATATTATAAATACGAATGCTTAGATAGATAGATGGATAGTGGAATGGATGTTTGTTTGAAGGTATCTCCGGAACGGCTGAACGGATCTCGCTGAAATTTGGCATAGTTGTAGAACATAGTTTGGAAGAACACATAGGCTACTAATTATTTTTTTAATACCGCTTGGACGGAGTCACGGGCAACAGCTAGTAAGTAGATAAAGTTGAGTGGGTTAAGGGATCCGTGGGTTGGTATAGGCCAAGGTTTCTCTATCGAAATGTCCACAGTTTATTGCGAAGTAGGCGCGGACAATGAACATGGTACAGATAAAATATACATGATTTTATTCTTCTCACGATCCTACACAATGTGACGATATTAAAAACGATTACATACTTTAGTTTTTTTTTTATTGTTGTTAACTAAATCACCATGACTGAATCAAATTATTAACATCTGTTTGTGTTGGCATGAATGTTGAATGTTTCTGTGTATTTAATATTATTAATCCCAACAAGACAGACTGATATATTACCAAATATAAGCGTTATCATTTGATCGTAATATTTTTTTTGTATATAAATTATTATGATACTAGTTGTCGCCCGCGACTCCGTCCGCGCGGATTAAAAAAAAAAACTTAATTTCAGAGATATCCATGCAGCCCTTCTGGAGATACCTTCTAACAAACATCCATCTATCCATCCATCTAAACTTTCGCATTTATAATATTAGTAAGATTAGTAAGATTTTCTGTTCGTTGTTTATCCACGTTTCTAAACCAACCCGTCTTCGTATACTATAGAATAGATCATATTTTATTATGTATTATTTTAATTGATGATGACTACTATAACAATAGTATAATTCTGTAGCTAAGCATAAAATTTGCTCTCATATCAACAAGATAAATCCTCGTTGCGTATCTTAATGATTTTATCAAATTGAAGAAAGGAAATTTTTGATAAAAAAAACTGAACTTTGCCCATTATATCATTTTCTTATTAAGTTTTTAAAATTGCCGACATAAATATTCCGAATAATGTAACTATCACGTTTTTTAATAGACAATTAAACAAATGACAGTTTTTTTCACGGTATCTTGTACACTAAGTACTAGGGCTTCATAAATATACTATTTGAAATTCAAAGAATGTCAACCCTTCATGATAACATTCGAGTAGTCAGAGCGCGCAATGCATTAAAGATTGTTTTGATACGGCAAGGTGGTAACCCACTATCGACACCATACATACGAACACAAGTTACTTTGATTATGTATCTGTCTAAATAATCGTAAATCTTAAAATAGAATATATTGTATTGGAATAAAATACTGAATATGTTAACATATTGAAAATCTTATGCGTTGCCTACCTTTAATCGCCGGAGGAGAGGATGCACGGAAAGAAAATACCTTTCCATGCATCCTCTCATCCGGAAAGTCCATTTCCACTTCCCATCCCTTCCTTACGAGAAAAAGAGTGGGAAGGGAAAGAGGACTAAATTAGGCCTCCGGGACGCACACTCATCAGACGAAACGCTGAACTGCTTCCACTTTACGCCTGTCTTCTGTGTGGTCGTGGTATTTCACCGGGCGAGCCGGGCCAATTCGTGCGAAGATGTTAAAGCAGGATCTACCACTGTTAAAATATCTATATAAAAACAGCATGAGCTATGTACTTTTCGACAGTATTAGTTAGAATCATTCGGCGCGAATGACGTGCTTTCGTTACAAAGTCCAGTGTCAGAATGAATAGTGAGGGGACATAAACGTCGACATTTTTGTAAGGCTTGCGTTGCGTCAATACACTGGCAGAATTTCGGATTTTCTTCCTAACAATACTTTAAAATCAACTTTTACTCAATACAAGTTAAATAAAACGCAAATACATTTTTTTCATTTATCTTCAAAATTCCTATTCTTTTACATTTTTAGACAAGGAACCTTTGTCTCCTAAATAATATCAAAAAGCTCTACATAGGTTTTATTGTAGAGTGTTTTTGCTCTACTTTTTATATTACGTTATTAAGAAATAGAATAATATCTGTTCCATGTATATACAGATTTAAAGTTCCTTTTCTCACATTACTCATAGAGTTATGAACGTCTGTCGGGAGAGGGGGTTGTGCGGGGCGCGAGAGGAGGTCTAAATATAGCCCGCATGCAACAGGTGGCCACCCTTCTTCGCTACACCCACGCCATGCTCAGCTTTATAGACCATACAACTGCAATATAAGTACAAATTATAGGACATATGATTTGCGATTCTTTACTATTTCAAATAAGATTTGTTTGAAATTGTAAAAAATTTTGGAAACTTACTTGTTTAGATCTTCAGTAAGGAACTCAAAATAATTACTAAGTCTCATTTTTTTTTGTTTCTCTTCATTTAAAATTAAAAAAACAAATTTTTGGCTTACGATATGTTTACATAGGAGCCATCGATGTTTTGTTTTTAGCGCAGATATGTAAATTTTATCAGTTTGCAACAGTCTTTCATAAATATTTTACATATTACTGATACGATAGTCATTTATTGTTATTTTGTAATAATTATTTTTTGAGTTTAAATACTGAACATTTAAAAATTAAACATTTCAAAATGAGGATTATATTATATGAGTGTATTAGCCTAGAGTTTTCTCTATTTTAATTCAATTTCTTGTATCATCAAGCGCTTTTGTCTGCTCAAATGTTCAGCAGTACGATAAATCCATGGCAACTTAAAAACTTCACTTCAGGGTTCGCTTTCCCAACTATAACATGGGTGAACTAATATCAAATTTAATTACGTCGCACGAGCATCGTTAATACTGTATCTATTGTGAGGACATTAGTACTGTTTACTAATCTATTTCTATCACCAAGGGATATCCCGTGTTGTTGACTGATACGCGAGCAACCATACCATCTCAAGGAAACGGAAAGGGATGTTCCCGGCACTTATTTTTACACTATTCTTAAATGGTCTGACAAACAAACACTTGTGACATATTTATATTGTTTTGTAAAGATTTTTATAATAGACTAGCTTTCGCCTGCGACTCTGATCGCGCGTAATTAATAAAACATTTAATTAGTAGCCTATGTGTTCTTCCAAACTATGTTCTATATGTTTCCTAAATTTCATTGAGATCCGTTCAGCCTTTCTGGAGATCAACAAATATCTATCCATCCATATAAACATTCGCATTTATAATATTGGTAAGACTAGCTGTGACCCGCGACTCTGTGCGGTATTAAAAACTTAATAAGTAGCCTATGTGTTCTTCCTGACTATGTTCTACATCTGTACCAAATTACATAAAGATCCGTTGAACCGTCCGAACATCACAAATTATATGAAATATAATAACAAAAGATTGTTTCAGAATGTTATCATATTCATTACATAATGTTTACAAATATAAAATAAACTATACTATTAACAGTGTTCTTGAACGCATATATACTTATCAATTCTTAGAGTTGGATATACTGAGCTTGGGTCAGTGAGTTTTCTCGGAAGCGTAGCAGGCCGGCTGAGGGGAAGTGGGAGGCACGAATCGTTTGAATGTACTCGGAATATTCCCCGACTGGTAATAACGATGTTCATTCATAAAGCTTGCCCGCTGAAAGACTTATTAAAAGCGCTAAGCTTTTAAATAACTTAGCGATATGTGAGTGTTTTTTCTTCCGAATTCTATCAGTTCCGTATTAGGTAATAATTTTTGTAAAATTTCATTTTTTCTTCTTCTTGATATTGACAAAAGAATCTTTTTACCGATGATTATTTTAAACTTTAACCCAGTCGCATCAGTTAGATTTAAAATTCAAAAGCGCACATAATTTTGAAAGTAGATCCCGTCAATTAGTCAAGCCAAGTTCCAGACGTTAATATATCGATCTGAAAATAAATCGCAGTGAAATCCAATACAATCATCAGTCACAATTTGCCACGCGCGATCTCTTGGCCGAATGTCTGTGGCGGCCCTGAGCGGGGCTAAATTTAACCCGCAGCCCTTCGTGCCCTGTCCACAGACAATGAGCACTGCGTTGTTTGGACTTCAATTATGACGGAGCAATGACTCTTGTTTTACATTTCTTCAGATACATTACCTAATTTTTCTCTTTATAATAAAATCAATTTGTTCCCTACTTTTCACTGGTCAGATTTAGTTAAAAAATTTCTGTGTTTCGCCACAAAAGGATAAATTGTCTTAACGAATCTAAGACAACATTGCTCTTTGACTCCTTTTAAAGAAAGAATTTATCTCAGTCTCGACTCTCGACTAACTCGATATGATTTGTCACATTTATTGGGTTAATATCCAGCTTAGGTTTTGTTGTATAAAATATTTTAAAGGTACAAATTTGGTATTAATTACCTACATATTCGTGTCAAATTAATTCCAATCGAATAAATTCTTGTGTTCTTTTCTTCATATATTTTAAACTGGTTGAAAATATTTAATGCCCAGTTTTCGAGGTTTTCACTTCAGGAGTTACATATCCAGGTTGTTCCTCTGGGTTATGTGGCCAGTAGGTTGGTCTGTTCACTGGATCTAATGCTTTGTCTGGATACAAATAATAAAACATCTCCATAGTCATATCTTCAAACTTCGGAAGAGATTGTATTCTTTTCAATTCTTTAGATGCGCTAAATAAAAAAAAACAGCTATTACTGTGGGTTTTGACTGCCCAGACACTTGTTTTTTTTCAAAGCAAATGTGAGTGAAAACGACGTTTATGTCACATAATTTAGAAAACTACTAGCCCCTTAACTTATTCAATAATGGAAAATGGACTTAAGATTTGCTTCTATGCAAGAAAAAATCAAATTTAAGCTCTATGCTTTTTGTAAAAGAAATTTACTTTTCTCCATATTATAAATGCTTAGATGGATGGATGAATATTTGTTAGAAAGTATTTCTAGAATGGCTCTACGAATCTCGATGAAATTTGATATGTAAAACATAGTATGCAAGGACACATAGGTTACTTATTCATTTTTTTTTAAATCCGCTTGGACGGAAGGGCGGGAGACAATTAAAACTTACGCATCAATATGTTTCTGTTGTTCAGCGCAGTACTGTTGTATATCTTTTTCAATAGTCTTCCACTGCGCGTCTATCTGTGATGTGACATTGTCTTTTGGATAAGGAATTTTGTATTTCTCCAAAGCAGATTTCAACTTCTCCACAATATTCGATTGAGGAATCAACTTCTTATATGCTTCCCAATCAATTTTTGGCATTTCAGCTGGATTAGCTTGTACCCTGTACATTTCAAATATATTTAAAAATTAGCGATCGCCCGAATTAAAAAATAAACATAAATAGTAGCCTATGTTTTCTTCCAGACTATGTTCTATACGTATTCCAAATTTAATCGATATCCGTTCAGTCGTTCTGAACATACCTTCAAACATACATCCATCCATCCATCTTAACATTCGCATTCATAATATTAGTAAGAAGTAAGATTTAAAATACTTTCATAGAATATGCAGTAGTTTTAAAAATAACCTTTGTAAATAAGCAGCAGATTTGGCTCTGAACGCCAAGTAATTGTTTTTCTGCTCCGGTGGATATCTTTTCTCAATTTCTACCCAATTGATTGATGGTTTTGTAAATCTTTTTGCCATTGTTATCGTTATTTATTTCCGTAATAATATTTTCAAACGTGTCAAGTATTGATGTACTTAACATCTTGTTGTCATCTTGACAGCATTTTTGTTCATAAAACTTACTATGATAAAATAGGTCCTATATAAATACATTAATGTGTATGTTACAAAAAAAATACAAGTATGATTGCGTGCACAAAAAATATATAGAATTAAATAATAACATCATAAGTGGATTATTTTTATAAAATTATTCGGTCATTTAAAATCAAAAGGAGACGCGAACTTGTATGTAGATTAATGTAAAACTTGTAAAACCTTCCAGGAACGTCTGCCACCATTTTGCAAAACTTTCACTCGTCAATTCGAGTATAAGTAAGTCAATTAGTTCACATGCAAGGCAGAAGACATCGGGCATGCGAGCTTGCGTGCTGAGGTCGGGAACCTTATGGCAACACTCGCTGTTAACGCACCATTAAATATAGCTCTTGTTACAAACCATAACGGTTAGGCATGCCACACACGTTAGGTTCTTACACTCATAAGCTACAGGTAAACTCTAATGCTTGTGTGACAAAATTTGGTTATGTCTGCAAAACACATCATGCAAATCCTAACGTGTGTGGCCAGAATTAAACGGATAAAAATTGTATGTATAAACTGGCAAATGTTGATTAATTTAAGTTTTTTTTTAAATAGCTAAGGGCAAAGACATACGAAAATGTCAAGCAAATATTTTTGACCGAAGTTTGAAAACCTTCAACTCCCGAAGCGGTTTTTGTAAATTGTTTAATGTTATTAGTAAAAGATCTTGATATTACCTATCGCGTTATATCTAATCTTGCTGTTTTCTTGAGTAACTTTAAAGATAGTTCGTATCGGGTTTTGAACAGTTATTTTTAATGTTGAATGTGCGATTTAAAAGTTGTTTATCATTCATAAAATTTGCGATGAATGAAATTATTTGTGATAAACGCCTAGATAGTAAGAGATATCGATGTGTCGTGACAGTAGGCTAAAGCTTAAAAATCTTAGGCGATAAGACCGCGAAAACAATTTTCAACTGCTAGCACGTCATCTGAACATAAATCGATATAAAAAAGCACAATTCAAAGTGTGACTACAAATTGTCATTAGCGAGCTACTCCTGGCCGTAATTTTGAGTCACCCTCTACAAATGTGCGACAAATCACCACACCGTTTCAATTACAAGACAATAACCTTCATGGTGTCAGGATCCTGGCCGTTTCCGGCGGATATTAGGCGCAACGACAACCCGCCACCGAAGTTCTAACGTGCCGAATTCTGACGACATATTTACCGAATCACCCAATCCTTTTACTTTGATGATACATGTTAGTTGATATTTTGTTCTATTCCAGAATCATAAGGTCTATTTTACTTTGCATACATTCTCTGCAGAGAGAGCAATAGTACACGTGGCTGGAGGGTACACTTCCGGAACAAGTCATACGAAAGTGTTAACTAATTCCAATCGCTTTGATGGGATACGAGTGTTCTACGAAATTAAATGGACGAATTTAAAATGATTGCTTACACGTTCTTCATTATGAAATTTCTAAAACTTTTTTCTTATACCGTAATAAGTTATATTTTATGGTAAATAAGCTTTTAGATAAAATATGATAATCATTAGACGGCAGACAGATTAATAACATTACTTTCTGACAATTCCGGTTTGTCAACTATGTAATTCGTTGTGAAATTAAGTATATTAAATGTATGCGGTCTATGAACCTTGTATGTAACAATACCATCTTACATTTTTTATTTGTTGGCAAGGAACACGTGGCCATTTAGGACTAGAGTTATTCAATTGTTTCACCAGATAATACGGCTCAAAGTACCACAGTCACATTACGGTTGTTGTCAAATATCTTTGCGGCTCTTAACTTCGTTAGAGTCGCTGCTCAAAACATAATTCTAGGTGAAGCTGGACGTAGCGAGATTCAAGGGGATGACAGATATTTTAAAAAAAACTATAACTGTATATCGTAAAGGTTAAGCCTAGGAAGAGATGGATGGATTGCTTGAAAAGTGACATAAAAAGGAGTGATGACTGAAGTGACGAAAGATAGATCAACGTGAGTGCGATAAAAACAGATAGATGATAATGATGTTATTTTTTTTCCAGTCCCAGCGCAATGAAGCTGGAGTGGGCGGAAAGTGAAACGGACTTCGGTCTGGAAGAGGCGGCGTTCTACGACGGCCCTGCACCTTTAGCGGGTCCTATGCGCAAGAAAGTCTCCTTCAGTCTGAGACTTGACCTGGTGAGTGAAGTGTTTGAATTTATACTTAATTGTCAGGTTCCTTGAAATTTGACATTATTTTCTACAAATTTCATTGCTCCTTTAGTAAATGTTTCATTATCCTGCAAAATATACAATCTAAACTCTGTGAAATGCAATAAATAACCAATTATTAACCGTATAATACTGCAAAGTAACAAATAAAAACTTTTTCCTAATTATTTTACTGATGGTTTCTACCACGAATTTACTTGGAAAATGCGCATCGTTATATCTATTGGAAGGTATTTCCGTTTTTAATGAAAAATTAACTTATCTATTATCAGATTACTTGGAAAATAAATAAAACACGCTAGATGATTAGTTCGTGTATCAATCACAACTATAGATTTAATGATAATGATTACACCAATAGCTGTTTTTGTGATAAGAATTGGAATAAACATTTCTTCTATCTTGTACGTAGCAGTTAAAAGGTTAAAGCTGGCAATTCAAACTTATGAATTAAATTTTAGTTTTTACTTGCTATGCCATGCTATTTCATACAATGCTTACTTTGTTAGTTTACGTTTAGATTTTCCTTCAGCTAACTGTCGCTATAACCTACTAACTGTCGCCCGCAACTCCGTCTGCGCGAAATAAACAAAAATTACACAGTAGCCTATGTCCTTTTCCAGTCTATGTTATATATGTGTGCCAGATTTCATCGAGATCCGTTTAGCCATTCTGGAGATACCTTTAAACAAACATATATCCATCAAACCATTCATCCATCTAAACATTCGCATTTATAATATTAGTAATAATAATTTTAGTAAATGAGGTTGTCAATTTACAAAAGAATACTTTATTTAAGTCCTAGTGATACACAGAGTCTTAAGCTCTTTTTCTATTTGAATACTTTATTTCTACTTGTATACTAGCGACATTAAAATTGCTAGCTCCAAGAATTTCTAAACCAAAGTCCTTGTTAATGGCAATACAGGTACCTGCTCACAAATAGCACCGGATATCCGATCGTCTTAGGAAAAGTTGTCGTATCCATTTAAAGACTAGATGGGTAAAACGATCGTTAAGACACGATGAGAAAACTTGTTAAACCTGATCGAAAATATTAAATTATAATAAAGATAGAAATTATTTTATGCCAAAGATGTACTTGAAGTACAAAATGTGCAAATTGTTGATAAATTGCCTATGTTTTCTGCGTAATATTTTTACGGGGTGCAGCTAATGATACATAAATTATTTGCATGCGTATTTACTGTTTTCATAGGATAGCACCTGGTAGACTGTTTTTTTTTAATTGTGTTTTTTGGAAATTATATTTAAGTACGAATTACTAATAAAATGATTAAATATGAATAATATTATTTATCTGAGACTACTCAAACGCCTCCTTTTTGTTATTTTTCTTCCAAGTTTATGTTAAAGTATATAAAAAGATTTAGAGCTAGAGAGTAACTGAGTAAAGATATAGTTCAACCTAGGTTAATTAAATTTAAATTAAGAAAAAAATAATAAGAATAAATAAAGACCAAATCCGAAGAACATTACTCAGATAATTATAAAAAGGGATCAATAAATTTGTTCCCGAACATTATTTGCACATATAATAAACGAGGAACGCAAGTGCATTGCAAGTCTTTCAAATAAAAACAGTTGGCTAGGGCAAAATTAATAATAAGGCAGAGCCGTCTTGTCAAACTGGAAATTGGCGTAAGCAGCCATATTTACACGTAGTGGTTTTGTTTCGGAATGCCAGCTAAGACTGGGGACTGGCAGAAAAACGATGAAATGCTTAGCAATTAGTTTCTAAGCACGTATTTATGTTTGTTCAGTGTAAATACATCTCAAATGCTTGTACTAGCATAAAATATTATTTTTAGGTTATTTCGTCAAAAACTTTGCTTAGCTAATTTTAATTACAATTCTAAACATCAACCGTTTAGCTAGTTTTATGTGATTAAGAAACATAGTTTTTCTTAAAATTTTAATTCTGGCAGAACAACGTTTAGAACCTTTGCCTTTTATTCAAGTAAGCTTAATAAAAAAAAATATAATAAAGGTGTCACCGAAATTTAAACTCAACCTAAAATTCTGGCAGAACGACTTTTTAATCTTTGCCTTTTTGAGTAAGTTTATTTTTTTTAATAAAATTAGTGAGGTTACAGTACAAGTAGTGGACGGTTAGGGCAGACACGCCGGATGCGATGTCGACGCGGTGCAACGGACCGTGCGTTTTGTCTCCTGATTTACTCTATTGAACAAAGAACTGGTAAGATATTGTAATAACTATACTTATGTGATTCACAATGAAGATAATATTCTATTTTAAACTATTTATAGTTATAAAAGGATATTTAATTCAAACAAAAGCGTAGAAGTGGATTTCAAATATTTGTATCTAGACATATTTTTTACCTTTTGATAGTTTTCAGTGTGTAAAATGTTTTTCTTAAACGCTATAAACCCGACATATTTATTTTATTTTGATACATTGATAAATATTTCTTTATTTCGTAAATATGGATACGTTTCAAAATGGCGTCAGTTCTCTTTTATAGTTCATATTTAATATAACCTATACCCACATAATTGCGTTTTGGGTTTCCTCACTTTTATTCTTCGCACTTTATGGCTTTTAAAGTACGAACTATTAATATAAGGCATTTATACGAGCATTAACCGCGACTGTTTACAAAAATTTAATGAAGTGGCTTATTTGATCATCTACAAGGATACGGTTACAATCAATCATCTACTCGAAGGTGCACAGAAAAAGCGCGGTTCCTATTTCAAAGTCGTTGTTGTTGTTTTTTTTAATTTCTTTATTTTATTTTTAAACTTGCCCGTGGCAGTGACAGTAAGCTTCACTAATGAGTTTCGACATTAGCTTACTGCGTGGAAAAAGTGTTGAGACTTCTTTACGAATGGGTTACAATATTATTATTTTACTATTTTTAATGTAACAAGACATATAAATAAGAAACTAATTTGTTTTCTAAATGCACTCTTTGATATTTTTTTATAAAACAAATTTTGTTTAATGATCCTAATTCAAAATACCTTAATATTGTGTATGTATCGTCATATTTTTCTGCAATACGAATTTGAACCATTATTTTTTTTAGTTTTTTTTTATAAAGACTACAGTTGTCACTTTACTATGTGTTATAAATCTTGTCTTACTTCTTACTAATATTATAAATGCGAATGTGTGGATATATGGATGGATGTTTTTTTGAAGGTATCTCCAAAACGGCTCAACGAATCTCGCTAAAATTTGGCATAGATGTAGAACATAGCCTAAAAAACTCATAGGCTACTAATTAAGTTTTTTTTAATACCGCATGAACCGAGTCGCGGGCGACAGTTAGTCATTGATAAAGTTAATGTCAACGGGTGTCGGGAAGATCTATAGATACGTCTTTGTTTTTAGAATGCGGGGTTTATCATTAAATCATTACAGTACTATGTCATTAATAATGAACGGGGTAAAATAAAAATGCTGTCGACAGTCATGACGTTAACACCTACAAGTAACTCAGCTCAGAAATGTCATCATAAAACATAACTTGACGTGATTTATGCCGCAAGATGGCGCTGGCTGGCGGTCGCTTCGGAGATAGTTACAATGTTTAAAAAATATTCATTACCTTTGTTGTACTCTCTCATGTAGGTATGCTTTGTATTTTAGAGTTATGGGATATTATTAACGTCTATTATAAGATATGTAGTTAGATTATAAGTATACCGGACTCTTCAATCAAATATCTTAACTCCTCATATTTTTGTCGAGCGGTTAATCGAATAATATGTCAAACCTGTGAAACGCTTGAAAAATAAATCTATACAAAACGTGAAATATTTAATAACGCACTTAACTTTAATATTTTATAAGTAAAGTAACACACTAGTCAACCTTACTAATATTATAAATGCGAAGGTTTGAATGGATGTTTATATGAAGATATCTCTAGAACGGCTGCATAGATCTCGCTGAAATTTGGCATAGATGTAGAAAAGTCTAAAACAAATTAATTAAGTTTTTTTTTAAATTCCGCGCTGACGGAGTCGCATTAAGATATTTCAATATGAAACTTTTCATACAATGATACGTTATAAAAAAAATATTTAGTAGTTACGATATTCAATTTGTGTCTTTTAATAATAAGAGAGAAGGATCCAATTAGTTATCGTAACAGTATTTTATATATTAATAACAGTAAATAATTATTTTTATTCACATCTTACGCGAAATAATAATTTATGTGGAAAATTAGTGAAGGCATCCTAGCGTATCTCATTAGGGGCCCACTATACGATATCCGGTCCCCAATTAAAGGGCTAGTTACGTCCGCTCCAAAGAATATGACAAATTTGTTGTGATTTTTCTATTTCTTTATTTCGTATTATTTTTATATTATATTTTCTTATACATCTAGCATCCGGTCAATAAACTGGCTATCGATAAGAATAAAATCGTATTTCTGTTTTTATCGGGATAATAAATAAACTGTCTATATGAAGTAAAATATTACTTCTTACTAATATTATAAATGCAAGTGCTTAGATAGATAGATGGATGGATGTTTGTTTGAAGATATCTCGAGAACGGCTGTACGGAACGGAAATTTCACATAGAACAGGATCTGGAAAAACATATAGACTATTAAGATTTTTTTAATACCTTGCGGACGGAGTCGCGGGCGACAGCTAGTGTGTAAATATAATAATCTCATTTCCATTGATTTCGACTATATTAGTTGGATCATGTAGGGCTTCAATTTTGATGAAGACATCAATCATAAGTTGTATGACGAAGCTGGCATATGACATGTTTTATGGTCATTGTAATATTTCAGTGTAACTTACGTTTAGAAATCTATAGTAAGGACTGCTTTAATACCAATTCAATGACTTCTAGATGTGGCATCAAATTTAATGTTTTTTTTTGGTTCTATATAAAATTTTATTTGTGTTTGAATGTGTCTGTTGTGTTGTTTTGTACGTAACAGACACGTTACGGATGTATGAGCAATCTATATACTATGTAGATAAAGTAAAAGCCAAGTAAAAACAATATCTTGCACTAACTTTGATTTTCTGATATTGTTTGATGGTTACCGCATTTGCGTATTTCTTACATCCGAATCATGTCGAGTTGTTTGATAACAAAATTATTTTTGTGTGTTAATTTAAAATTATTAGAGATAAAGTAATTAATTTTTAAAAATAAAACTAAAGTAAAAGTAAACATCCGGTAATAACTACAAAAAAAAAGTAAAAAACTGACAAAAGATTTTTTATTCACTTCGTTGGCAGATCACACAGTGGGTCTTTGCCTCCGATACAGAACACCAACATTTTTTTAGTAAGTGAAAAGATTATTAATGAACGATGCAACCAATTTCATATTAATATTCAGAGCAGCTGTATAACGGTATCTTACATTAGGTTGTTTCACAGAACGATTTTACTGCACCAAAACTTGTTTTTACTGTGTTGATGTTTTGTAAATACGTAACCGTACAATTGCAGTTCCTAAAGCGATGTAATGCTAAACATACAAGTTGGTACTGATATGGAAAATATTTGATGTTTTTTGCCTAACTATAGTATGAAATTTTTTACCCGACTGACAAATAGGGTAATGTTTTTCAACGTTTAAGGAAAAAACTAATTTTATTTTTTCCATCTTATTAATAACTTAAGGGTTTCCAAAGGGCGTTAGTATTGTAATATAACAAGAGGGATTAAACCGTCCAATACATCTTCCCCTCGACATTTAAAAAGAGCTTTGGAAGGATACGTGATACAAAGCGACAGTTAGAGACGCATCACCGCAGTGATCGTCACACGACAAATTGTCTGTTAACCTTAGCCCATATATTATCAACTTCCTTATGAAACTTTTTTAAATTTAAGAAGTCATTTACCTTTCATGTGTTACCTTATTACAGTCCATGTAATTGTTTATCAAAGTTTGTTAACCTTTATGATATCTATCTTTAGAAATATGGTTTAATTTGGACAATAATTGTATACCTACTTTAGATAGGCAAAAAAGTTTTAAGATTATTAGTTTCGGCTACCACTGACGTACTTTGTCAGGGAGCTATTCTGATTTATTATCCTGTGGGATGGGGAAACGAAAGAATAACAAATGATTCGTCAATCGTCGCTGTCCAAATGCCAATGAATTAGGTTCGCGCCCCATCGATTACCGGGCTTGAGAGAACGTTTTGTTTCATTGAGGGTGACACGACCCCTCTTTAAATGAACCAAAATATCTTGTCTGTTTACGGGTTAACTATGCCCCTATAATTATTAACACATTTTAAATAACTTACCATCTTTTATTGAAGATTAAAGATTTGAATAATGATAGAAACAAGAGGTTTCTATCATTATTCAAATCTTTGTTTATGATTTTTTTATTAATTGATAGCATTTAAAATTAATACAGATGTTAGGAAATTAAAACAATGGAACGTAACATGACAGTTATAAAAAAGTTTGATATACACTTTTAGTCAGCGTCAAAAATTAGAAAGGTATGAATAAAGATATATTTTTTTTGCAACAGATGTATAAAAATAAATAAATAAAATGTTATACAGGATGGTCAATTTTTCACTGAGCTACTACAAGAAACAATTTATAATTTATATATTGAATACAATGTCATGTTTCGATACACAATGAACTTATCGAGGTTCTCGTCGCCCCTGATTGACCCGAGGGGTCCGCATTGATTCAATTTTGACGTTTTTATTGGGTAATATTGATATACTATATGATTAGGGGACGTATGGATCATGTTTTCATGTTGTTACTACGAGTCAACTGAGTCGTAATATGTCGATTAAATTTGTTCTTCAAAGTTTTGTAGAAATGGTGTCGCTTAATTGAAGCGATAACTTTCTTTACTTTTTATTTATTCAGTTACTAGCGGTCACCGGCAACTCCGTTCGCGCCGTACTAAAAAAAACTTTATTAGTACCCTATGTGTTCTTCTGTGCTAAGTTCTGCCGTTTTGGAGATACCTTCAAACAAACATCAATCCATCCATTTAAACATTTCGCATCGCAACGCATTTATAATATTAGTAAGATGTTTATCAATAGATCAGATCTGTTACCATGGCTTTCTAAGACCAAAATCCCCGTTAAAAAAATACTATAAAATTATCTCTGTTTTGTCAAAAATCAATGACAAGGATAACAGATACATTTCATACAGTGATTTTGATCTCAGAAACCAATTGTTATAAATAATAAATAAGTTGTTACTTTTAACCATTTAGTATACAAATGGTGAGGAAAACACATCGTAAACATGCAAAGCGCTTCAACAGAATCTTTTCGTATTCAGAATAGGACAGTTTTAGCATACATTATCAAGTAGCTATTTGTTTAATGTCTTCAAATCTATCCCGCTTCCATGAAGCGAGTCTAAACTTAGATATAGTCGGAGTTTTCAATGTTTTAAAACGTATTGTCTCGAGTCCCGGCGAGTGCTTTTAAAGCGCGGCATGTTCGGCCGGCAAACGGAAGTTGCATCCACAATGTGAATAGAATATTGACTTGGAAACGATACTGATGAGATTTAACTTTAGGTATGACTTAGCGCACGTAATGACGAAAAAAATGGTTCCTTTATGAATACTATATGGTAATGATGTGTCGGTAACGAACTGCTGTAAGACTGTTTTACCGACAGATATAGTGTAGAAATCAATAATTATAACGACACGTTTTCATTATTATAGGCATTTGTTTCTGATTTTTTTTTATTTTATAAGAAAAAAAATATTTTTAACTCTTACTAATATTATAAATGCGAATATCTGAAATTAGCCACAGATGTAGAGACATAGTCTGCAAGAACACATATGTGGGCTATTAATTAATTTTCATTAAATTCGGGGATAGCTATTAAAACATAACCATATTTCACTTTGCTGAGTAAGGTAGTCGTACACTTGAGCATTCCTTTCCTCTCCCTATCTCTATCTACCCTACAATCAAGTCTAGCATTGCGTAAATACACTACTCATTAGCAGTAGTCACTTAACATCATACAAACCTGTTGTTTCTTACCATTTTGCATATAAATAGTGTTATGAAGTACTCAGAATATATTTTTATAACTTCCAGTGCGATGAGGGTGGCGGCGCTACCGGTGGCATCAAGAGTGAACCGCCCGAAGCTGAGGAGCCCCGAGCAATGCAGAAGGTGCCCTCGTTGTCGGACCTCTCAGACCCTGAAGCCTCCTTGGGTAAGTACATAGAATAGACTTACTTAATACTTAGAAATACGTTATTCTACTGATTGACATAGACTTTTATTTACTACCAATGTACAAGTTATTGATTTTTAAAATGTATATTTAAGGTCGACAATAATTTAATATAGTTTTTACATTTCAATTAGATTTGTAAGCCAATTTAATTTAATTCTACTACTAAAAACTGTTGATCAGTCAGAAGGTAGGTAAATTATATTAGTTTATTATTTCATGTACAGTTTTTTGAATCTAATTAATTTACATTACTTTTAGCTTTATTGAGTAAAACATATACTTGGTATCGACTTTACGAGTAGCGAACCTACTTACATTTCTTAATCTAAAATTAAATCTAATTAATTTGTGAGAAGTAAATAGAGTATTTATGATACAACACTATACTTATGCACCATCGTATTACATAATTGTAGATGATTTTATCAAAATTGTTGCTGAGATTGAGACGAACTGACGGACGCGAATTTCCATCCTGTTATTAGCTACGACAATCCTGAAGGCCACATGTCACACCCAATCAAGACCTTATAACACTTCCAAGGTGTTATCAATTCTAGACCCAATTGTCTAGCTTAATTCAAATCGATCTCTTCCACCTCTTTGATTTTTTTCTTGGTTCAGACTTCAGGGACTTTAAACAGACGAAATGTTTGTAGCATTAGCGGCTTCATTCTAGATAATATTTAACGAAACTTGAGACAATTCAAAGTAAGTTTAAATATCTTTTAATGTGAGTTTTCTCGGCTCTAATACAGAAATATATATTGTTATGTCTGTTTATTACAAAGAGATGGAAAGAGATAAACTTGTGGTTTTAAACATATCTTTCGACAGTTATTTTCAAGGTCTTTTTAAATTATTCACATGCTAAGTATAGGATATTTTATATAGAATCATATTTGTTTTAGTTGGTAGATCGGTGAGCTAGTAGTATTCAATATAGCTATCGAATGAGTAATAAATAGGTGAAGTCCAAATAGGATAATACGGCGCATCCTTGTTACGTGCTGCACTTTCAGGCAGGAGCGTTGCGACTACATAACCTAAATTACAATTATTATTATAAACTAGCTGTCACACTCGACTTCGGTCGCGTGGAATTATTAAAAACTTTATTAGTAGCGTATGTGTTCTTCCAGACTATATACTGCATCTGTGCTAAATATCATCGAGATGTGTTAATTAGTTTTGGAGATACCTTGTAACAAACATCCATTCATGCAAACATTCGTATTTATATTCTGAATTAGATTTGTTTTAATTCATTATTTTGATACGATATGAATTGTTAGTGATCAATGAAAAGCATATTATAACACATTTGACGTTACTAATAATGCGTAATAGATTTAAAAATTTTATTTAAAAAAAAAACAAATACATTCATGGCTTCCGTCTGTATGTGATTTATCATTTGCTCTACGAAATCAATCAAAAGCAGGTCAGATTGTTAGTCTATAATAAATATTCGGTTCCCTTTACAATTATTTGTATAGAATAAAATCTATTTTTACAAATAAATCCAGAAGTTTTATCTTATAGCTTCGCTAGAAATCGTATACATGTTTTGTGCGAAAAAGCTTGAGTGTTGGGCGGAGTGGTGACATTTATCACTTTAGAGAAATATCGCAGAAACTAATGAAATAACATTACGCAAAAAACAAGTGAATAAACTTTGTTGGCATCGATTAATTTAGATGTTTATTCGTTGATGTACAAACATGTTTAAATGAATAAATCGACTCAATCGAGGACGTAGAACACGACTGTTAACACGTTCACTGCTCAACCTTGCATTTGGTTTAATAAAGCATAGGTCTGTAAATCTTAACTCGATAAATTAGTGTATTTAGGTTTTTGTTTTCTCTTCCTTATTCGATGAAACAAATGGTCAGTGTCTTCTAAACCGCGTACTTAGAGTTTTAGTTTCCGAATTTTCTAGGAAGCGTACGAACTTCAGCACAAAGTCATGATAGGTTGAGTGTAAAAGTTCTGTTTATTACTTTTTCTCGGTCGCCAGTCTTCGAATGTTTGCTCTTTGAAAGTTGTAAGCCTACTTGGATTCTTCTTTCTATGAAAATCATAGATAAGATGCATTCCAGATGATCATGGTTTAATTATTTTATTCCACAGGCGAGGTTAACGTACGTGCCACTGAAGTCAGGGTGGGCCGCATACGGGCCCATTGTTTCAAGTCTCTTTGTTTATGTACCTACATGTTTTAACGTGGGAACCATTTATTATGTATTGAAGATACATAATGTTTACTCTTCCTCGAAATTGACACTTTAATAATATATCAGACAGTAAATAAGAGATGTGATTGGATATAACATTGTTATAAAAAATTCAGCGTTGTGCTATTACCAAGATTAGTTACAGCCTTAATTTCGAGAGATAACATGTCAAAACTCTTATTTCGTCAGGATGTCTAATTCTTTGGTCAATTTTGTGCCTTATCTTGACATTGTAAGTCTACAATAGTGATATTGCTAAACTTTTTGTAACACGTAAATCTAAATGAACTATACGATAACATTTTTGCTTATTGAAATTTAAATGACATGTACCAACATTATGTTCATATCATTAACAAGTTTATTCCACATAAATACATACATTTCGCTTTGCGGTTTAATTGGTGCGAAACAAAAGCAGAATGAAATTTGAATGTGAATGAGAACGAATGAATGACTGAATGCAATGGTTGCGTTCCGAACGAATTAATCTGGACGCGGTGTACTGCACTTCGTAATTACATAGTCTTGTAACTTATTAATGGAACATATTGGCGTACGCTTTGTATTTTATTCATCGATAACAAAATTAAAAAAAAAACAAACAAGAAAAAACATTTTAGAAATTAATTCCATACATACAATATAAACGTTTCTTATGTTCTAATATTACCAAACACTGATAGTAAATTAATTATATTTTATTGTGTTTAAATGCACATTTACTTGTCATTGAATTCTGTATTTATAAATTACAATGTAAATGTTACAAACACAACTTCAATTTAAATTGATGTCACAAACAAAACAAAATATAAAAACCAGTAGCGACATTATCATATCAATGCGGAGAACGGGAGCGACGCGATCAATTTGTTGGCTCTATCTCGCTGTTGCCTTTGACTCATGACTCACTCTGTACACATGAATTATACTCTGTGTACATCAGACATTTGACGCCATTGCAACTGGAGAACTGTCAGATAATACAATAACTACATTTTTAGAGTCGGATATATTTTTAACATTCTTTCTTTTAAAACTATTTGTTATAATAAAATACGTTAACGTAAAATTAAAATAATACAGTCTTCTTATTTAATAAAGGGATATGAAACCTTTTTGGTAGAATCACACAAGTGGCCAGTTTTAAAAAATTAAAAAAAAAAGTTAAAGTGATGGTAACTGTCCCCGCATTCGATACCCAAGAGGATGTTGCGGTATCCACTTCCCCCGCGTGTTGATCGCTGCACGGGATGTTGCAGAAACTACGCGCCTCAAACATTTTGTGTATATTTCACTTTGATACTAGTTATGTTATAACTTTAACGTGTAAACATTTACAAATTAACGTTATGTTTATAAATAATGGTCGCATATTGTAATTTCTCAATGAAATTACCGTTGTATTATTATTATTATATTACCAAAGGTTGAGCATTATAGAAAAAAATAATGTGTTATAAAAACCTTATCCGAATATATTTTATTTTTTATGTGAAGTTTTCAAGATTTTTTTGTATGTTTTGACGTTTAATGAAAGTTAATGAGTTACTCTTGTTTTTAATTCATCACCTCTAGCTTAGTAACATTATCTGGAAGTGCGTGTAAGAGAATTTTTTTACGCTCGGCCAAGTGGAAAGACAGTTTCATATGTCACGTGAAATAATCATTGACTTATTTTAAACTTTATTGTGATAATTTTACAATATATTATTGATTGGCATGACAGTTTTTTATTTTATAAACTATACCACACATGTGGCCAGCTTTGGTTATGTTTCGAACTTGCAAACTGTATTGACAATTTCATGGCCTTATTTAATAATTACAATTTTATGTAGTAATATTTAATATTAGCCCTTTCGTACACAAGGCAATGTAAATCTTCGAAACTAATGTGTCCGAGTATTGCGTGAATCGGCGACAAGTAAACGTAACGTTGAATCGCCGACGCGACTCATCTATTCGGTCAACACAGGCATAGCTACTACATGCCAATTGCACAGATTTACTCCACCATCTTGAAAATTAAATTTATAAATAAAATTGTAAACAAGTGGGTTAACAAAGTGCATTCGCTCCGAAGCGATTCTATAGAGAACTACAAAAATTACGTGACTTATCGAAAGTTATTGTCAGTTCTACACATTTTTGAAGTTCGTTATGGAATCGCTATGAAGATGATGCACTTTGTCTTGTCCCGCAAATAGCAAGCGACTATCATTGGCAAAGAAGAACAAAATTGCAGCGACGTGTTGTTTACGAATCCCTATGGCATCGTGCTTCGTCCGTCGCTGAGCGACTAAAATCGCCCGGTTTTTTATTACGTTAGTTATCTACTCTGCCTTAAATTTTAAGTATATAAACCTTTTAAAAGTGGTAAACAACATTTTGTTTTCCGATAACCGTTTGTTTTTTCACTACAAATTATTCGCTTTCAAACAAGATCGTGCTATTTCCTGTCATTAGTATTACGTCACTTACGCAACCGATGTACGCAGGGTGCGTCACTTCCTATTTTTGGACGCGTAAATTTTAACAATAAGTTGCGCGAAACGAAAGTTTGAATATAACATTCTGAATTCGATAGATTTGTTGAGCTTTAAATATATCTATGTGTGCTTACTAAATGTTGTAGCGAGCGATTACGCAATTCTAAGAACGACACAAGCCAAGATAGTAAAAAATATAGTTTATAAGAACATACAAATGATAAATAACTGAACTCTACTA